GGTGTTTGCTTGAAGGTAAGGTTTAGGGTTCTAATTCGTGGCCCCCTTCCACCAAGTTCCGCCTTCAAATTATTAGAAAATCGACAATTTAACGAATTTAGGAAATTTACAATGTATTTAGTAGTATTTATTATTATTACTCTTGTATTATATAATAGCTGTACGACGTGCTGTCTTCAAGTTCCTATTAATTATTACAGCTCGAAAACTCATCTTGATCCTGAAGACCTATCTCATATTCAAATAATACCTTGTTTGTCGAATCAACAGGTGCTGTAAATTTCTTTTTTGTGAAATACTAGACAATAATAACGCATATTTTTTGAAAGAGTATATTCTAAGATTTTCTCGTATAAAGTACCCTTTGCCAAAGATTATTAATGTATTAAAATAAGGCTGTTTTTTAGTCATTTGGGATAAGAAAGGACTAGGGTCGATAATAATTTGAAAATGACCATTATAGCAGTGAGTTTAATGTGTGTTTAAAAAAAAATTTTATTAATCTGGTTATTGTTTGTAATGATTATTCTAATAGTTCATAATATTTAGGATCACTTCAATAGTTAATGTAAGAAGAACATATTTCAGGAGTGGTACCTTCATTTGCCCAATATGAAATATATCAGTAACAATTGTAAAATACAAAAATGCTAAGGTTTCAAATTGAACCACAAAAGCGATTGTGTTTAACTAGTGGAATGATGTAGAGGGAACAATAAAGAAATTAATAAAATTTGGAAAACTATTAAACTGCTTTAAAGGTCATTTCAGTACCCTTAACGACCCTAATCCGTTTTTATCGTTATATTAAAGAAAATTTTTGTAGTTGCTTTTCTTGTGTTTAATTTGTTTGATAATTCACAAAGATTGTTTTCTGAAAGCAGTATTAGAGTTGTTTTGATAAATTAGGCACTGTTTGCATGTGAGAAACGTTTTCATAATTACATGAATTAAATATATAATTTCGTTTCCTAGCAGTATTTAATAACTAAGTTTGATAGTACAACAGAAATCACCTTGTACAGCGTATTTGAATTCTAGTTTGTATGATTGGAAATTGAAATTTTTGATGTATTATCTAAAGTAGAAAATGCTTTACGATTTCAGAAGTTGTGCACTTGCTATTTTAAGATTTTATTACTGTGGTGAGTGTGTATAGTTTATATGATTTTTATTTGCACTGAAGATGGACGAATTGTTGAACTTTAATAATGTTGAATTTAATAAAGATTATACTGTTGACATAATGGTATCTTTATTTTTGAAATACTTTTAAATTTTGGCATCCATTTTAGGCCCTAGTTTGCAATTTAATCAAAAAGTTTCACAGAATAGATAAGCACAATCAACCCTGACTTATGTATACACAGGCAGACGGTCAATAAGGATCCTATTGTCTTTTTGATATGAAACAAATTCTAATTTTATGTTTTATTTTTGTGTAATCATGATTACATAATAATTATCAAGTAACTTACTAATGATTCTCATTTTATTTCTTGGGTGTAGATTAATTATTATGTATCGCCTCGTGGAAACAGATTATGTAATGTCTAGGGCCAATGCCCCATATCTAATGATAACGTTATTTTTTGGTAAATATCCTAAATGATAAAGTTCAACCTCCCAATTCTTTTTTAACAAAATTTGGCAATATAAACGCTGCCTCGTGTATATTGCTGTTGTAATATTTGAGTTGTAAAAGTTCGATTTTGTTTGGGGTAAAAACAAATTGGGGACGCTCAAAGATGACATTCTCCTTTACAGTGGCTAAAATAAATCCTATTTGTCCTGTAGGATAAGTGGGAACACTGGACCAGGCGTATTTTACTGTTCCAAAACTCTTTTTGCAGTTGGCAATTGTGTTCTTTATGTGTTCCAACTGTGACCAAAAGGTCCCACCTTGGGAACATATAATTCCATCTGGTTTAAGAGCACCCCTTAACATTTCGAAATAATCATTCGTATAAAGGTTGACCGCAGGTCCTATAGGATCGCTGGAATCTGTTATGATAACATCGAATGTATGGCTACAGTTTTTTATGTATTCGAATCCGTCACAGATCTTTAGGTTTAATTTTGGTGATGAAAATCCTTGGGCCATCGAAGGGAGGTATTTTTTGCAAACTTCAATGACGTCTTCGTCGATTTCGACTTGCACAACTTCCTTCACTAGGGGATGCTTAACAACTTCTCGAGCTACACCTCCATCTCCTCCTCCCACTATGAGGACTTTAGAAGGGTTTGGATGTGCACACAGGGGAAGGAAACTTATCATCTCTTGGTATGAAAATTCGTCTTTTTCGGTACATTGAATTATACCGTCAAGAATTAGGGCTTTTCCATGGGATTTTCTAATAAAAATTGCAGATAAATATCACCACATGCATTACATGCATCACTTAAAAAGTTTAAACTTACGTTCTTAGTACCAGAATATCTTGATAGAAGGATTTTTGATGGTGTAGTATTTCTTCCACTTCTAAGGAAAACCTTTCTCCATGCCATAATTCGTTATTTTCATAAAACCAGCCTTCTTTTATTTGTTCCATACTGTGGTGTATTTACTGGTTGTTTATTTGAAAATGAGCAGAAGAAAAATTGCGCTCCTTTGTCATCAATGTTGTTATATTTGTAGTAGTCAAAGGTCAACATTTATCGTATGTAAATTTATTGAATATACGTAAAACTTGTGATAAATGATAACAGACTGTCTGCTACACATAAACACGTGTTTCAATGTAATTTTCGATTTATTTTTAATAAGCACAGGCTGATTATTATATAAGGTAATAGAAATTAATAAAAGACCCTTAACATTTTAAAATATTTACTTCTCAAAAAATAAACATTCGATTACATTGTTCTACAAATTACTTAAACGTAACTTTAACAACTTTGGCAATAGGATTTTATGGTCATCATCAAACTATTATAGTAACATTTTTATTATATAATTCTTTTCTTTTAAGTCTATTTAATAATAAATAGGTAATCCAAAGATTATACTACAAACTCTACACACCAAAAGTTACATTTGTATAACACACGGTAGGTAAATGTATGAAAAAAAGGTAAAATAAAAAATAATTTCGTTAAATACTGATTAACATTTTCTTAACACAGTTTACAATACTGAGTTTATGGAAACAGCTTAATATTAGTTTAAAGCTTAATACAAAGCAACTTCTTGCTTCAGTAACAATTCCTAATCGTAAGTTTAAAAAATTCGTATATTAAGTCACATCTGATCAATGGTTAAAATATTTTTAACTGTATTGGTAAGAGGAAACCGTTTGGGAGTGCCCTTTGGAAGATCTTTTTTGCAAACACCCACATGGTCATCCATATTTAAGGAAAATATCATTGCTCCACCAAAATCATTATTTTTTATAAACTCAGTCTAAAAAGAAGTTTTCAACAACTTATTTTACATAAAAAAAAACAGGCAACTGACGGAGGAGGAGGAGGGCAAATGGGTGGAGGGGATGAAGATTTTGTTTTTAGGTAGGGGAGGGTAGATGGGATATATTTCATATTTTAAAATTTATTTGTAATAGCAAACAAACATTTAAACTTGAAATAAAAAAAAGGTACTAATTACCTTAAACGTTAAACTCACTGTATCATCATAAGATACCCATTCCGAATATTTAACAGCATAGGGGCTTTTGCTGTCCATATCAAAAAAAGGTTTTATTTTATTTTCTGTGACAAATGTGCACATTTGCTTATAATCCACAAACCCAAGGATTCCAAGACGCCCATATCCTATCGCGGGCGCGCCTATTACTGTGTTCTGATTATTCATCAAACTAAAATGAACAAACATGAAATGTAATTTAAATAGGACAATCTCATTAGATAATAAAAAAAGTAGAAAAAAAACATTGTCCAATGATTAAAATTTTGGTGATGTACTTTGCAGTTGCGTAAAATTAAATGAAACAATTGCTAAACTACTGTATGAGGGGTGATTGGAATTATCTGAAAAGTATTTTAGAAAATACTTACGTGTAACTATGACCATATGTGGGTAATCCGATAATTATTTTATTTTTTTCCATTCCATTGAAATGCCAGTAATATGCAGAGTAGTTAATATTCAAAGTGGCAAAATATCCTATTTGATTAGGGGATGCGTATAATGGGGCATTTATACCAGTAAATGGAGTAGATTTGGTGTAAAAATGGTAATCATAAGACATCAAATTTACGTAATCAACATATCTAAAACGTATTCAACAAATTTTTATGAGACCACTATTGTAAAGAATGTGATACATTCTGTATATCTCTGTATTAAAGTTCTTAAAAGTTTAATTTGGTTTTGTTACTT